GTAACGCCTGCAACACTGCCGTTCTGTCGCCAGTCCCCTTCTGCTGGGTAGCACGGGCGTGGCGAGCCTCCGACGAGCGCTTGGCCGGTGCGTTGTGCGCGAACACCGTGGGAACAAAATCCGGCTGGTCTCGATCAGACAACGGTTTCCCTGCGCATAAGCAAGCCTCGGGACGGAGATTGAAATGGAAGCCGCACTTGCCTCCAAGAAAGTGTTTGCCGCGCAAACGGTCGTTCGCGCGAGGCGACCATTCTTTTCGATCCACGGATATTATCCACATTCTATGCCTTTCAGAGTCTGCCGGGTACTTGTGGAAACTCACTCCGCTGCTTTTCTTGTACATTTCGGTGCAATTAACGGCAACACAGCTTCGCGACATGCTGAAATGCTTTGACGCCCATGCGAAACGTGCGCGCTTTTGCCCACACCCCCCGGCTCCGGCGCGATCGCAGCGCCGCCGCAGCTCCGTGACGTCAAGCCCGCGTGTCGGTGTATAGGGCGCTGTACGTCGAAACGAAGTTTTGGGGTGTATTATATGGGACAAGAGGGTGTAAGGTTATACCCTTTTTTTAGAGTGCAAAAACAGCGCGTTTGACAGAGCGCAGTTTGTTATGCTTACGTTGTCGCTTCAGACGCACCGTTGGAACTATGATGCTCGAGCATCCAAGAAAGGCACGCTGTCAAAAATGGGCCCAAGTTTTTTTCATGCAGAATGCGACAGCACTTCATGAGGGGTCTAACCTCAATAGAAAATTAAGTTATGCATGGACCTCCAATATAAAAAATTCTCACTGCTAACACAAACAAACATGCCATCAACGACACAACAGCACCAGCTCAGACACCGCAGCGGACATTTGCGGGGCTTCTTTCCGCCCAGGAAGCAGCATGGCATATGCGCTTCCATTCCCCGCGTGCTGCGCTGACCAGGGATGTAGCCAGAACTTTGTGTAGGGGGAGGGCGGGCGCCTATGACAAAATGCCATATATGGTGGAAGGGTACACACAAAACATCATTACACCCTTCAGGACGTAAATGCCTTGTCCTATAACTAACACCCTCTTTGGTGTAGCAGAACGCCCTAAGGTAAGGGCGTTATTCCTACACTGTTAAAAATGAGTCGTGAAATTTACGAGGAAAGTTCTGGCAGCTCTATTTCCAAACATTTCCCGTCAAAATAACGTACAATCATTTTTTTTAAATTATGTGGGAAAAGTTGTCAAAAAAACGAGGCACCGCATTCTTAGTTTACGAGCATAGACGTGAAAATGACGATTGAATCGTTTTCAAATCTTCCCCCGTGAAAATAACGAACTGTCGTTTTTCTAAATTGACTAGGAAAGTCGTCATTTTTATTTGCGGCTTTGTACGTGAAAATTACGAGGAAATCTCTGGCAGCTCTATTTCCAAACATTCCTCGTGAAAATGACGTACCAGCGTGTTCTGAAACTGTGTGAGAAAAACCTAAAGAAAAGGTGGATTGCATTTTTCAGCTGTAAGTATGTATGTGTAGCATACAGTCATTATGATCAGTGTTCTTCACGTAATTATAAAAACAAAAATTGAAAGATTACTTATCACTTTATTCAAGTTTCCGAGCTTCCTCACTGTACAGTCTCCTTGGTGATGATGGTGTGCCATTACATCCTGCGGGAAAAGAGAAGAGAAAATTACCCTATGCCACCCTATGATATAACGTCACATAACTCGCTCAAAGGACTATGAGAGGAAAGCAAGAAAGATAGTAACAGCTTCATCCGGACAAAAGGGTGAGGAAAATTGGACAATAGCATTTCTGAAAGTCTGATATGTCAGACATTGGCCCTTTTCGCCCTTTTGCGTCAGACGCAAAAGGGCGAAAATAAAGTCGTTTACGCCAGTCGAACATTTCAAAGCGCTCGTAAAGTCACCATTGCAATGAATTGGCTTTGTTCAGTGCGCTTCTCCGCATGTGCACTGCGCTGCGGAGAAGCGAAACCCATGGAGCAGACTCCGCAATCGCATTAATCGCGTTAACACCCAACAACACCTATAGAATAATAAAAGCCTGGGCATCGCCTCCTCTCCCTTCATGAAACGTCATCACAGTCGGATGGCGCTAACTCGGCTCCTGGGCCCGAGTCCGACCTTCGACGCGCTGATGGAACACGAGCCCCGGCCGAACACTGACGCAGCACTCGTGCCCAATCTCAGGCCTCAATCGATCTGGCTGTGATGACGGTGCGGAGGCCTTCTGCTTATCTAGGGGGTGGTGTAACACCCCGGTCGCAAGAATCTCGCTTTGTCGCAGTGCAGACTCATACTTTGGTGGGAAATGCACACCTCTATAGCGGAGAGGTTTTGACATGTACACAGGAGGAATTAAGAAAAAAATTTAAAAATGGTTACGTGAATGTTTTTGCATCTGATGGATGTCGGTACTCCCCTCAAGGTCAAATTTAGAAGACAAATAACACTGTAGCTATCCTGTTATCAAGAATATGTATTAGGCTGCAATGTCCTAACATGCTATGTCACGACATTGCAGCAACAGTTCTAATTTGAAATTGAAGGATGAGCATGGCGAGAAGGCCATCAAATCATATATTTATATTCACAACCTCTATGTGGGCCTTGACCTGATGATAGCCAGAGCCACAACATAATTTGGATCAGAACTAACAGAGCTTTGGCAGTGGGGCGATGATAACGAGATCAATTAGAATTTCATTTAAAAAGTATATGTATTGCCCTCATGCTGATTATGTACACTTATAAATCTATATGCCCATGCAGCATGCTGCTGACAAGCATAAATAAATGACAAGCTTTGCTTGCTGCCTCGATTACAACTGTGCAGCTTAAGCAGATCCTTGAGAATTTTAAGAGAGCATTCAGTTTGGTAATCAAAATTATTCACTTCTAACTTTATTTCAGTGGATGACTACCTGCCCCTGATATTAGGTATTTTTTTGTACCATACCTAAAGTTACTATTCGTGCACGATCATGCTCCTTCACTGACATATTACTGCATTTTGAAAACATATGTACTAAAGTAATCAAAGCAGCCTACAGCTAAACAAGTGATACCAACACTGTCAGGGTGGCTGAGGCTAGCATGACGGCACTAAGTAACAGGCTTGGAGAGAGGTGCAGACACTGTGATATTCAACTGAAAAGTTAATAAGCTCAAGTCATTATACACTTTAAGCCCAAAATTCATGATTCACACATGCCTATTATTCTCAGTATGAAGCCAAAGGCGAACCAAGTAGTAGTCCGTTGATTTATTACCGAAATAGAATACAATTTGAATACCAAACTGAATGCTTTGCTTATTTTTGGAAGGTTGCGATAAAAAATGCACTACTTAATTGGGTGAAAAACAAAGCCTTGTACACAATCATGTGCATGATTACATTCTACAAGTCGTTTTACATGTATACACATCATTCTATATCAAAGCTAACAGAATTTTCAAAAAAGGCCACGAAAGTTATCAGAATGTCTTCTTCATTGCGCATTCGTAGTACTCTGTGGACATCAGTAAAGGGGATAACCGTCACAGTATGTTGACTAATTGACGAAAATTTGCTAGCTTTGTAACTAATGGCTTTCTCGGCCATGCTGCAACAGCAGCGTTAAAAGCCAGCCAATATTAAAGGCTATCCCGACTTAAACAATTCACGAAATGCCAAGCGGCTTCCACATATTCCTTGTCCAACTTTTGTGTTTTAATGTCGGATGCAAAAACCGTGCTCAGGAGCTCAAGAATTTGTGCCGTTAATGGTGGGTGGGAGAGTGACATAGTCGTACTGGGCACATCGTCACTATCTCGACAGTGAGTCCTTGGTAGATGCATCCGCGTCATACTTCCAAGATAAAAAAGGTGCGTCCGAAGCAACCACGTCCGCACAACATCCTGAGGTCTTCCCCGAGTACGCAATTTTCGAATCGGGTGACAAAAAAAGCAAATTTTTAGCATTCCATATCTTGAACCTTGCTGCTATACAGAAATTCTGTTAGTCTAATATTTACTGCCTTTGAAACTAGAATTGAAACGTATCCCATAAAACAATTAATTAAAAACATTATTAAAAAAATTTTGTTCATTAGTTTTGATTAACATTCTGCAACGGTTATCCCCTTATCTAATGTCCTCCGAGCCCCATAAACACACAGTGAGGGAATCATTTAAGTAACTCGTGCCGTTTTTTTTTTTTTTTAATTTCGTTCGAATCAAAATAGACAGCTTTGTATACATGTATATAAAAATATTGAATGCATGTCCATCCCACTATAGAGGTCCACCTTTTCCTTAGGTAAAACTGGATCAAACTGGAGAAGGCCAGTTTTACATAAACCCCCAGCATGGTATGTACCAAGGGCCGCCAGAAATGATTGCTCACCTCAGAACACTCTGTGCGGCTTGAAGAAAACGGCTTGCGGTCTTTGACGGTGGGTCTACCCGCTTGGTGCAGCTGGGACCTGCAAGAAAGTTAACGCAGCTTGCCATATACCAGAAAGTAACAAAGACAAGGCCAGTATTACATAAACCCCCAGCAGGCATGCACCAAAGACCGCCAGAAATGATTGCTCACCTCACTGAACACTTTGTGCGGCTTGAAGACAGCGGCTTGCGGTCTGACGGTGGGTCAACCCGCTTGGTGTAGATGGGAACTGCGAAAAAGTTAATGCAGCTTGCCATATACCAGAAAATAACAAAGACAAGGTCAGTATTACATAAACCCCCAGCATGGCATGCACCAAAGACAGCCAGAAATTATTGCTCACCTCATAGAACACTTTGTGCGGCTTGAAGACAGCAGCTTGCAGTCTGAAGGTGGGTCAACCCGTTTGGTGTAGATGGGAACTGCGAGAAAGTTAATGCAGCTTGCCATGTACCAGAAAGTAACAAAGACAAGGCTAGTATTACATAAACCCCCAACATGGCATGCACCAAAGACAGCCAGAAATGATTGCTCACTTCATAGAACACTTTGTGCGGCTTGAAGACAGCGGCTTGCGGTCTGACGGTGGGTCAACCCGCTTGGTGTAGATGGGAACTGCGAGAAAGTTAATGCAGCTTGCCATATACCAGAAAATAACAAAGACAAGGTCAGTACTACATAAACCCCCAGAAGGGCATGTACCAAGGACCACCAGAAATCATTGCTCACCTCAGAGAGCACTCCACGCGGCTTGAAGAGAGCGGCTTGCAATTTTTGTTGCTGGGACCTGCAATATATTTAATACAGCCTGGCGTATACCACAAAGACAAAGCCAGTAATACATAAGCCTACAGCACATGTCCCAAGGACCACTACAAATGCACGCTCACCTCATGGAACATTCCATGTGGCTTAAAGAGAACGGCTTGCAATCTGTAATGGTGCGTGCACCTGTTTGGTGCAGCTGGGACCTGCAATAAATTTAGTACAGCTTGCCATATACCACAATGTAACAAAGACAAGGCCAGTAATACATAAGCCTAAAGCACGACATGTCTTAAGCATTGCTAGAAATGCTTGCTCACCTCATAAAGCACCCCATGCGACTTGAAGAGAGCGGCTTGCAACCTGAGGGTGAGTGCACCTGCTTGGTGCAACTGGAACCTGCAATAAATTTAATACAGCTTGCCTTATACCCACAAAGTTACAAAGACAAGACCAATACTACATAAGCCTCCAGCATGAAATATCCCAAGGACCACTAGGAACACTTGCTGAACTCATAGAGCTCTCCATGCGGCTTGAAGAGAGCGGCTGGCAATCTTTGGATAGTACCTACGGGTTCATTTCCCTTCCTTGATGAGCCTGAGAACTTTCGGATAAATGCCGCTCTTTGCGGTATGGCATGGTGCACACCTGGTACCTCTTTTGAGGTTTATCTGGCCAAAGTACCTATAACAAACATATAACAATTGGGTCACACACTGCAGTATCCAGCAATACCACAGCAATGACAAACGTTAGAGAAGAGAATAAACATAAAATTATGTTTACTAACCAAAATATGTTAATTACCTTCTTAAGTATTGGTATAATGGGCTATGCTGCGATTGCAATTTTAAACGGAGACATTATTAAAGCCCAACCTAAATGAAACAATTTTGTGAAAAAGCAGCAAGTTTTGAGTAATCCATGTTTTTCGGAAATCGCCGGTTAGAGTTTTGGGGTTACATTACTCTCTTTAAAATTGCAATTGCGAAGAGGCCCATTACACTGCTAAATAATAATAATAATAATATTCATAATAATAATATAATACATTTATTGTATCTAGCGCACATCAGTTAGCATGACGGGCACATCACAGCCAACATGAGGCTTGTGGGATATGCCACCCTGAAATTAACAGTCCAACATAGCTATACTTTGAGCCCGAGTGCAAAGTGAAACAACTATATCTAGATGTCATTAGGATGTCACAGGTGCCATGTGACACAGTTAGATGCAGACACACACCATGCACATGCACACCAACATATGCAAATGCAACGTTAGGTTTGAAAATAGCCACTATAAAAAAGAGGAAGCAATTATAACCTCGTTAAAAAAAATCATGCACTAATGATAATAAACGCAACTATACTAAACAAATAACGCAACTATACTAAACACAAATTCATTAAACCAAGTCCAAAGGGGAAGTGTCACGGCCGGGGTGTCTGAAGCTGCACAAGTGTAATCTACAGTGAAATAAGAAAAGAAAAGTAAAAAGCTATGTAATTAAACAGTGACTTTACAATTTTCGGTTAATTAGTAAACATATTTTGACGTTTATCCGCCTGTCTAATGTCCGCCGAGCCCTACTATTATACAGTGAGGATGGCATCCACATATATATCACCTTCATTTTCCTTTACAGTCCGTTAAAGATTACAAAAAAAAAATTTGATATATCAGAAGAATCTTTCGACGTCATTTCAGCTGTCTAATGACTCAGGTGTGCAAATGAATGAACAGTACTCATCAATGAAAAATAAAACAAGAAAGCGCAGAAAAATAAATAAAATATAAACTTCTGCGAAGCCGATCAGCCGTTGGGTATGCTGAGCCAATTATTACGATTTTGCGAAATGTTCACCCCTAAACAGACAGTGCGGTGGAAGCTGCATGTTCGTTTGACCAGTCAACTGTCGATTCTGCACAACGTGGTCACCGCCTCTCGCATACTCACGCGGGGAGAGCGAGGTCAAGCGATAAGAGGCTTTAATTATAGTTGGCGAACAAGTAGCTTGCACCGCACTGTCAGCGTAGGCGTGAACGGAATATAGGACATGCAAAAACCTAAAATATATGTACCGTATTTTCCGGGCTATAGTCCGTACCCGGTGTATAGTCCGCAGGGGCAAATTGGGGGTCCAAAGTAAAAGTTCTTGCTTAGATACTTAGATAGTCCGCACCCGGTGCATAGTCCGCGTGCCGTGCATAGTCGGCACCTGGTGCTTAGTCGACACGAAAATCTTCCTACAGACGGCACACCTTGACACATGTCTGCTTTCTTAGCACACAAAGAAGCCTACAATCAGGCACGTAGCCAAAATTTTGTTTCGGGGGGGGGGGGGGGGGGGGGGGGGGCTCCCCCTGGCTACGTGCCTGCCTATAATATACATAAATCATCATTAACATACTCTTTCACTCACAAAATCCGTCACATCTCCTCATACTGAACGATCTTGAAAAACAAAATTCGTGTATAGTCCGCACGCGTAGAGAGTCCGCACAGCCTAAAATTTCAGCTTTTAAACATGTATAGACCTTGGACTATAGCCCGGAAAATACGATATAAAAAATAAGCACACTGTTAAATATAAAGTCAGAGCCAGCAGCGAGCTGCAGAGTGGATGTTTACAACAATTAACCCTCCAAACTGCTTGAGAAATTTCCCGTCAAATTACGAGGGCGGTCAATAATTTTGTGTACGTCTTAGAGGCTCGTGAATCGAGTGCACTGGAAACTTCCGTTTTCGAAGCCGCTAAAACGTCGTTCAATGACACTGCGTCGTTACAAAGACGTTAGCCGCTCGCTTATGTTGTCTGGCTCCATGAATGTTGTTGCAAAAACAAACATAGAAACTAAGCTTCCATAAAAGCTCGTACTCGCGAGTTCTCCTAAGAGATAAGGCGCAGGGCTCTGAGTAGGGCGCCGCCGCTGCAGCACGGATAAATAAACACGTGCATATTATAACGGAAACATAACGTGCTGAAAAAGAAACACCAAAAGCACGATGTGTCGCTGGACGCCCGTGAACTCAGACCGCAGATTTCGAACACGATCGAGCGCTTTCCGTCTTCAACCGAAAGCACTCGAACCGCGAACATGGAGAAACATTCGATTACAATACGTAAGCAAGACATTGCAAGGATAGTCACATTGCATACCTTGAAGTGGGCGATTTAGTCGTCGATGAGCTGATGAGGCCCTGATGCATCACAGAACACTACACTGACCACGATGTCAACAGCCACCGAGGCGAGTTCGACGAACGCCCGAAGAGCGATAGCATGGCATGGCGATAGCTGCTGCAACCTCTGTTTGCGCCTGCGCGGCACGGGCGCACGACTCGGAGCAATACCGCAAAACAACAGAGATGGGTGTTGCAACAACGGCAACACCATTCTGCGAGAGAGGAGGGCCGCGAAAGAGCTGCGGGGCTGCGCGCTGCGCGGCGGGGCATTCAACTCCTCGCCATCTGCGCATGCTTGCACTCCTGGGATTTCGGCTTTTCTGGAAGGCTCGGCTCTCGCGCCAAATAAATAATGGGGGCATCCTCGTATTTTGAAATGATGAGCGTGCCCGTCTTTTTTGACGAGGGAAAGACACGTCAAATTGACGTAAATTTTTTACAGTGTACCAACCCCTAAAGGAAGGAGTCATTCCGAACACCCTTAAATTAAGATGTGATTCCACAGTACATTTTTTTATTGGGATGTTATGATTGCGCAGTATGCCCTCTAAATTGGATGTACGACGCCAGAAAGGGAAGTAAAAAAGGCGAAACGACGAACACCCATAAGATAGGGTGTAGTATGCCAAGAAACTGCACGAATAAATGACTGCGAATATGTCGAAACATGCCTGGTTCACTTTTTATTTTTTTATCAAGATTCTACTAGGCTCTAGTAAATTCTCTATAGACGATTGCAAGCATGTATCTGGCCGGAGTCATGTCTCTGCTGTGCGGGCAAGTGCGTGCATATCCAATATTGCCAAAGGGCCAAACTACGTTCACGCACACGTCATCAAGTTTGGCGAAGGTAAGACTGGAAGAAATAGTTCCCTTTTATTCTCGCAATTTCACCACGACCAAGACGCTCCTGAGTCACTGATGGTCCGTGCGAGTATACTTGGGCCAGACTAGGACTAGCACGCCTCTGTAAGGTCATGAACATTCCAACCTGACATTGTTTCACGACCCCTTTAAATTGTACAACCGAAGGCCATATTTAAATCTCCAACTTACTTTTCGTGCAGCATTTATGCTTTCTAGCACTGGTGACGTAAGCAAAACTCGACAAGATTGTAAAGACCGAACGACCGGGAGTAGCTTGGGACGCAGGCGGCAGTTCATGTTTGTAAACAGCAAAATGGTCTATTGAGACGGTAGCAGGACTACTATCAGAGGCATGCTTGCAGAGTACTTCCAAATAAGAGAGCGATCTCATGTAACCCGCGATAGATTCATAATCCGATTCGGGCAGCACAGAACGATTCGCAAACACGATGTCGAGGATGAAGGCGCTCGCTCACATTCAACGGATATCTCGCGATCGCCGATGAGCAGCTCTCGGTCGTGATAGATGCGTAATCCGATTCAGGCAGCACAAAACAACGCAAACACAGTGCCGAGAATGATGGCGGTCGATCACATTCGACAGAAGTATCGCAGCCGCCGATGAGCTGCTCTTTGTAGAAACGCGTCCAACAAACACAGCACAATAATTCAATAGACTCCGACGAAATAAACTGCCATTGCCAAAAAGTTGGCATGGCTGTAGCCTGTATTCCGGCCATTCACGGCGAAAAACCACGCTGGCCTGCGCGAAAAAGCACAGCCGCAATATGGGACTCGTTAGGAACTGCTTGCACGAAAAACAATAGAATCATCACCGGCGGTTTTTGGAACCGGACCTACGTGGTCCCTACAACTCACCATAACTTGCCAAACGGCGAAGGCTATGACCCCAGTGAGGCCATCAGTGCGTCAGAGCGGGTGGCGTGACAAATTTTTCTGCAAGCGTTTTTGTCCTACAGAGAGCAGTTACCTGTTTCGCTTCACCCCTCTGATTCGCTAGAAGCGGCCTTCGCACTGGTTCAAAGTCACGCGAAGGCACAAAAGAAGGTATGGAGGCTTATCAGAAGACTAGGTCAAAGGGGCTTGGACAAAGCAGCGAATCTCCCTCTGCTGCTTTGCATGACCACCTGCACTGCCCAGGGAGGGTCGCGAGAAAAGTGTGACTGCTCTAGTGCGGACTGCGAGATCACAAAATAAACACAAAAGCAAATTCGTACGCCGTCGAAGCACGGGTCAAAGCTAAGACGTTGAAAGCACGAAGCAACAGACGCGGTTTCACGCGTTCTCAAGAAAAATCGGAAAAAGTTCGGGGCGCTGGATATTTTGGTGTCAAAACGCAGAGACAAGAATCGCGTACCCTAACGGAGGTGTCATGAATCCGGCACATTCGATTGTTTTGCGCAATGGTTTCTTCAGAACTACACAGAAAGATAAAACCTTAGTGAAGGTGCTATGAGTAGTACGGGGCCCAGTCAGGTGAGTTTCTACTACCGGAAATGAGGGCGCCACAATTTGTTCAATGCTTCGGCGCAGGAGCGCTTTCTTGGGTTAAAAGTAAGTAGATTCCGCTTTGTTTAATTTCTTTTTAAACTTCGTATTTTAGGCAGTCAAGAAATAGATATACCTCACCGGCATAGCCGATTCACGCAGGACACTCTTGACACTCGACCAAGAACGGCGCCGCGTATGGCATGTCAGAATGGCGTCGGCGCGACCCATACCCTTCGTAAAATTTTGGCTGGACCAAAAAGGTATGGGCACAATCTTTCCAATTAGACCCAATATCGGCGCAGTATGGTGTGCTGCCTGGGCTGTATATTAATACGTCTTCGTTAACATTTTGCGAGCGGGGATTGTTTCTCAATTCGAAGTTAAACTGATAAAACTGATGCACGCGCGACACGTAATTTTCGGCTCGTGTCGGACGGAGAGTTTGATCGGAGTTGCAAAAACTATTCTCTAGCACTTCCTAACCATACCCGCCTTCATGTGGCGATTAATTATACTCGATGTTTCTCCCGTCGTACATCAGCAACAGTTTAACCAAAGCAATAAACATGAACGGCTCTGAAATCATTGGTGTATTCAACAGCATCAACATTACGCCCCTTTCACACCGTGTGAATGAGGGGCGTAAAATTCGCCCATACATTCTTCTTTCACGATTTCAGACACCACCGCTACAAGAATGGCGTAAAAAGGGCGTGTAAGGGGTGTAAGACGCCAAAATACCCTTTTCACACTAATAATATTCAGAACTCCTGCGAAAAGGGAGTGTAAAAAGGTTGTTTTTCCTCACTTGCACTTTTCTTACACCCTTCTTACAGGATTATGGGTGTTACAATGTTTAGTGTGTAGACGGGGCCCCAGTACCCCCCCCCCCCCCCTCCTCACTGACTGCCTGCTTGCCTCGGACGAAGAGCAAATCTTGCCTGGTCTGGCCCTGTCTGGCAGAATGGTGAATGCACCGCGTTGAGCCGCTAACCACAGTAAGATGAGGACGTTTCGCTTTCCGGACGGAGAAGAAGGAAGATTTCCAGACCACGGGTATTGAAACTTTAATTTGAAGGCCGGCACGCACCTCCCAGTAAGTTCAGGCAGGTCTCTGGCAGACGTTCAGGGCACACTGGCATCATCTTGATAAATGTCAGTATGCCTTGAACATCTGCTAGACAGACCTCCCTTAGGGTTCGAAAGAAAAACTGCTAGACAAAGTTTTTTTTTTTAATTTTGCATGATAATCCAGTGTTTTGTAATGCAGGTCTGAGTGCACTATACGCTGTTGCAGATATCTGCATCCGCAGCAAGCAAAAGGACAGGAGGCCGAGGAAACCACGGCTAATAATGGAGCCATAAGATGCTCCGCCTTATATAGTCACCTGCAGCGCCAATTAACTTCTGAACCGCATAAGGCAAGGGATGTTATGAATGGAAGCTGGCTCTTAAATTGGCTGGAGAAACCGGTGCCTTCATGTAACGACCTTAAGCTTTCACCGAAAGTGTTCCATGGTGCAGATTTATCTGGCAAACTCTAAGACATCTCAATTCACGTGAAAAGAGCTTGACAATTGCAAAAACAAACACTCCAACACAGTCGATTGAGAGTTCCACACTGTAAAAATCGACGTCAATTTTACATGTCTTTCACTCGCCAAAAGACGGGCAAGCTCGTCGTTGCAAAATACGAGGTTGCCCTCATTATTCATTTGCAGCGAAAGCCGAGCCTTCCAGAAAGGCCGATATCCCAGGAGTGCAAGCATGCGCAGATGAATCAGAATAGCCTTGACGACGAAGGAAGAGCTGCATGAGATAGTTTCCGTTATACATTGAAAAAGAAAACCTAAAATTTAGATAAAACCAAAGATAGACTAAACTTTTGTTAATTTTTACAGCATTATTATAGTGACAATATTAGTAATATAATATTAATTTGCCCGATTTCGTTAAAAAAATATAAAAAATATGGTTTTTTGGAGACTGTGCATCACCATCGTGCAATCAGCTTCGTTTGGCTTTCGGCGTGGTTCCGCAGGCAGAATCGTTTCCTTTTTACTTCTTGGCCGTTTAAACAGATAATTTAGATATCTTGCTTACGAAAACCGTGTCCAAGAATAGCAAGCAATGACTGATAAATGGGAGACGCTGCCTCTAGCCAGCGCAAGTAAGTGGCGGACATTCCGTGGCCGACTGGTGCAAACGCCGCTAAAAAAGTGTTTTTTCATTTTTTTTTTTTTTTTGCGAAGTTCGCGGCTGGTTTAAGCTTTGTCGTGTACCGCTTGCTTGCTACGCTACGCTTGATTCTAAATATGCTCTACCAGGTGTTATTTCGTTATTTGAAAAGAGCGTATCTTCTTCAAAACCTATGGCTTTCTCCGCAGAGTGAGAAAGATTCGCGTGCGGCGGAACCGAGGGCCAACGAGGGCCTGTTCTGGGCGCCGTCCTACGACACTTGCCCGACGACGCTTTTGCGGAGCATTAAAGTGCAGTCTGGCGGCAGTTCAAGCAATCACAGGTAATGCTAGTTCTGACGTGTGGTCCCAACAGTCTCTCGCCACCGATTTGTTTCATAAAGTGGGAGCGAGAAAAACGTTACAAGAGCAAGCAGCATGATTTCTTGCCTGTTCTGGTGCCTGTGTAGTAGAGACGCGCGGTCTCTCTGCGTTTGCCGATGCGGCACGCTTTTCAAGTTTACGATTGTGTGATGTAAATAAAGTGAGCTTGTATGTCACGTTTTTTAGTGGCGGCGAAAACCACTACAAAAAGCATAACAGTTAAAAAATGCAAAAGCATGAAAAATTGTGAAAAGAACATGAATATTCAATGGCGTTGAAAGACTACCAACATATCAACTCACCCAGTTTTTCCTTCTTTCAAGGAATAATGTACATTAGTAATAAATCAAATAAATTCCAACTTTAGTTGGTTACACATGTTTAATTCATATGCAGTACAGCCCCATCCTGCTCTAGTGCTTCTATGATATCAGGTAAAGGCCTGTTCACACTCTTGCAACCGAGTACGACCGAGTGAGACAAGATCGGGTTTTAAGCCTCTTGCGATCTCTTAGGACCAGCTCCGCTGCAGGACATCTGGTCCTAAGAAGTCGCTAAAGGCTTAAAAACCGGTTTGTTCTCTCTCGGTCTTACTCAGTCACAAGAGTGTGAACGGCGCTTAATGTGTAAATGTATAGGATGATTCATAGCAACCATTTATGTCCGACCCATTATATTGAATCTTTTCTCTAAAAGCTCGAAGTTATTTATATAAAAAAGGTGCTCATCATAAATTAAGCCGCATCACTAAATGTACAATAGCGTGTGACTTGTAAGTATGTTTTCAGCAAACGAAAAAGATGCATTAAAAAAAAAGGCAATCATTTTGTTTCCTCTGTGTTAAAGATTCTTTCAGGTACACGCAAAATGTGGGTGTCTAGTCTACGTGTAGACTTGTAGAATTGACATTTCCCGCAGGGTTGCAGGCCTGACTCAGTTTGACTAGCAGGTTGCAACCTATGTGGGAACCTGGTGAACTTCATCACAAGAGTAAAAGTGACGTTACTATAGGGGGCTGGATCGTGCATCGAGCGTACAGGTATGAACCCACCGGAAGTAAGCGGCTTGGCCCGGAAGCGAGTGCTTTACAGGCTTTTCAACTCTCCGAAGTGCTGGTTTAAACAGCGTTCAGGGCGCTGGGTTTCTTTTCTTGTCATCCCAGGAGAGCCTGCTTGTTGCGGAGTAACAGTGAATGCGAACCCGAGTAGTCTCCTGGGAAGCCATTTGATGTGAAAATTTTGAGATTCTAGTTTATCAAGTGTGCGTATGTCTTGGTGAGGACGAATTTGTTTTCATGTTAATGAACCTTTTGTAGAAACATCGGTTTGAGAGTAAATGGTTCTAGTGCCCTCTCTGTCTTCCTCCTGGCCGAGGAGAGAGGGAAGAAGGTTTTTTCGTGTGGACTTCGGCATTCAAACGGTAACAAAATTAGAAACAAAAATAGGAAATTAAGTACACCCGTAATCAACGCAAGCTTCTGCGGTTTTAATCACATGAACTCAAATTACTTGTAATGCATTTCTTTTGGGAGTAATTTTTTTAATCATTGGAATGCGTGTATTAGGAAGTTATCACAGGACTAATGGGATATTACATTAAAAATTATACTAAACTTACTTGCAGCCCTTACTGTATTGTTTCGTCTTTCTGATAAAAATATGTTAATTAGGAAGATAAGTCGTTCAGAGATCGGTGACTTCTATTCGATAATGACTGTGCAAATCACCCGTTTCGAGACCGGTAAGAAAATTGTGTCGTTTTGAATATTTAAATTAGTGGGAAGGATAATGGTTACTTTCCAAGAAACGGTCAATTAGATTTCGCCTCGTTTAATCGAGAAATCTTATAAAGTTACTTAAGAAGAAAGTGTGATTGTAATTTTAATGAATTATATTTTTTGTGCAACTTTTACGGGACTCAATTGAAGTGAATACGTTAAACAGCGGATATGGGCGTACATACTATTTTTCAGGCAAGTGAATACGAAAGGACTTCGGGTAACCCGCACGTAAAGCTAAAGTAACGCTGCAAAAAAAAAAAAAAAACTTCCTAATACAAGGACTTTATATCGACCATAATTCTTCTGTTAAATAAAGAGTATTAGGAAATTGACATATATATTCCTCAGATGAATACTTATGTACATATCTGGCTAAGTATCGATCAACGTTAATGTTGGAGATATAGCTTTAGCCAGAAATATGTCTTTCTTCTTTCAGTTGACACCAAAAAGCTGTATTCATAAGAACACACACGCACATCTTCCGCAAGGACATATTTCCAGGCGAACAAAGTTTGCTACTTCATAATATTTTTGGAGCACTCAGAAACACGCATATATTGAATAGCGGTGATAGCTGAAAGACAAGTCATCACCTAGGCATACCCTATTGTTTGTTCCTGGATACTTCACGGTTTGAAATTCATGTATCGTACAGTTATGGACTCAACGTAATGCTGATATCCGTATGGTCTTGACATCCACAAAAATGCTTACTAGACCTACGCCCACAGAATTACTTTAATCTTAATGTAGGATGTAATATATATCATATAAAATAATCTTCTTCACGACATTCTACTGCGCTACGAGTCGGTATTGTTAAATTATTATTTATCCTGAAAATATTCCCGCTCTTGAACTAGTGTAAATAATTAGTCGCTGAACAAACAAATCGAGAATATCTGCCTGGTTCGAGATAAGGCAAAGGAAATAATATTTACGCAGAACGCACAAAGTGGTGAAGTAATAATTAATGTTTATTTAATTGTAGTCATGGGTGTTTCTTTTCAAAAGTTGCTGGTTTTTATAGCTGGAGAGCTGCGGGCGTTCCAAGACGAATCCATCTCCTGAAAAATAAAATAAAGAACGACACAGGTTAGAGAAACAATTGCTAATTACAGTCGGTTACTGTCACTGACATATCGAGAAGAGACTTTCCAGCCTTATTATGATTGCTTAGACAATAAGATTACTGTATGAGTCAGTAAGAACGCCAAAGAACGAACGAAAGCAAGAAGTGTGAGCACGATACGTCGCAGCCTGCGTTTCTTGAATTGTGATTTATTGTATAGCCGTCAGTCATTCGAAAAAAATGGCCGCATCTTCACGTGGTGAATGATGTTAATTGGGGCGAAGCTCTAGTGGTGCTGATAATACTGATTTTATTGTTCATATGTAGTGCTGATGGTGCTCATTTTTTTTATTGCTCGTAGGTAGTGCTGAGTTCCGGGTTGCGTTTCGACTTTATAAACCCCATCTATCTATCATCTATCTATCTATTATTACTGCTTTATGGTCGGTGAAATGCAGAGCTTTATGGTCGGTGAAATGCAGCTTCTAGCGGATCAGCTTGGATCCGCTAGAAGCCGTGGGAAGCCATCTCCACCGCTTAAGTCAACGGTCCATGTCAGAAAGAGAAAGTGTGGTGTGAACGTGGTCAAATACGCATTTGAGCATTTGACTGCAGCGCCCTCTCGTCTATAAACGTTGAGCCAATCCAAGCAAAGTTTAACGTGATTTACATACACATTTGACCGCTGCGTCCTTTCCTGTATAGACGTTGAGCGGCGACATGCAATGTTTCATCCATGACATCCCCAGCTCTTGAGTTACTACCACATCTCACACCCCCTACTCGTCCCGTAGTCGTGGCCGAGTGGTTAAGGCGATTGACTAGAAATCCATTGGGGTCTCCCAGCAAGGGTTCGAATCCTGTCGACTGCGCAAACATTGTTTTTTTATTTTTATGTGAGCACGGACGCCGGCCGGCCGGACGGACGGACCGACAAGGCTAGACTCTAAGGAGCTTCGCCCCTAATATTGATATTTCGTCTCAGTCAACCACCTTGGTCGTACCACATTTGTGGGGAATTTCACGAACTAATAGGGCGACGTAGGAATTGAAATTTCGCCACAAATAAAAACAAAATATTAGATGTTTTAGGCTGATGCTTACATTTCTTGTAGAATCCTCCGTATCCGAGACCTCCAAGACCGTAGCCATAGCCGAGTCCGTAGCCCAGACCATAGCCATGTCCGAGGCTGTGACCGTAGCCATAGCTAAAATATGGCGTGTGGTGGGAGACGCTGGAGTGGGCAAGTGGAGCACCGACCCAGCTACCGTAGCCGCCATAGCCGAGGTAGGTGGCGAAGGTGCAGGTGGCCAGAGCCATGATGAGGATGGTGCGGAACTGCAAGGCATTTGATGCGAATTAAAGAATGTGAACTTGGGTTATAGTAAGCAGTTTATACAGATACCGTAATTTCGGCTCGGTAAGTCACATATTTGCTGTATTAGCCACATTTCCTGTCCTGAGCGGTGGACTTCATTTAAAAAAAAGTTGGTATAGAATTGTGATATTTGTGCGGTTGACACGGCAAGAATGCATTGAAGGGCCTGCATGTCTGCATTATCATCGCAAAAAATGCGCAAGCGTGAACAAGTTTTAAATTCTCGTTAACGAATTGAACAACTGATATCCCTCACGTGGCAAATTTCTAGATTTGAGTTTTATACGGTGTAAAGAAAATGGAAATAAACAGTACCGTTTTACAAAGCGCAAATAAGGAAATGTTAAAAACACACACACATACACACGCCTTATTCATCGGAAAGTATTATACTATCGGCTTTCTCGAGAATCTAAAGTGGCCTACTTTTTAAGCGGGCTTCTGGAACCAAATATAATATTTAAACTAGTATAGACGCAAGACTTTTTTTTTTTTTTTTGCAATACTCTTTTTTTGTTTATAATTTTAGCCTTGATATATTATGAAAATCTTTCTAAATTAAGGCAATTAAGAAATATTGAGGGTAGTAGAAAGGTGTTATTGCATTATGAAAGACGGCAACTCCTACCATGTTTAAATTCGGAATTAGTCGATGGGATCCAACTGGCGAAGAGCTTCAGTTTTTCGGTCTTTTTATACAGGGACCTTGTCGACCTTGTAGTTTAATGGCCAATGAGAGAACGCTTCACGTCTTTCTGTTTTCTTTGAATGACGTCCCCAACAGTGTTTTTACAAAGCGTTTTGCTTACACATAAAATGACTTCGCTTCTACGTTGACATTCGATTTGCAAGCAAACTACTTGAGGAAAAAAAAAAAACGCAAGTATGCACGGTTTAACGGGCTTCTACTGCACTCTGCGGAATATTGCACCCCGCACTTTCTGTTCCGTCAATGCAAGATTGTAGATAAGGAGAAGCTCTAGGTTGCGCTCTGCAAAACTGCATTGGTGGTCGTTGCGTATTTTCTTTCAAGCACATCATTTGATTACGAACTTAAAAATACAGCGGGGGGTTTTCGATAAAATTATTTCTGTCACGTCCCATCGTATTTTCCTGTTTCACCTGAAAAGTATCGAGACGCTTTACGCGTGTTTACGTTCCGCCCTCATTGCCCAAGAGTATACCGATTTTCTCTCGAAATATAGACGCGAAGACTCTATGATATGTGCACGTGTAGCCGAGAACAATTGAGTGCTAGAACTAATAAAGGCCAATGCTAAAATTCCGAAAATCATCCCAGCGCTATCTTAAAAAAGTTTAGCGTACTACATTTCACTTTAGAAAATTTTAGGGAACCGTTTTTGCACATCCGACACGGCACGGTGCACCGTTTGGCACAAACTGCGCACGATCTACCGCAGAAGGCTCGCACTTGCGCAGATCGTAAAGGAGGGCTTATCGTACTGTATCGGGTGAGGAGGGGGGGGGGGGGGGGAGTAATGATTTTCGAGGTGATTATTCATTTGGTCGAGTGACGAAAACAACGATAGCGCTATTACAAAGTTGCTGGAAAAAACAGAAACAGGAGGGGAAACATAGCTACATCTCATACGAAAACGGTCTATAGACATTTATGAAATATCCTATGGTGAGCTATCGCCGTATGTGGCCTTCTATGGTCAGCCGTGAGAAACTATAAAACATGTTATTGCCACCCAGAAAATAATCTGTCGTCAATGCTATAAAATCTCGACCATTCAGATTTCTATAGCCGGCTATAGAATAATATGTGTTTAGGAAACTATAGACTTCCGACGATTCAATTTTCTTGAGCAAACAATAAAAAGTATATGCTCTTAATGCTATAAATTCGTGACTGTTAAATGTGCTTTGCCGGCTATAGAGGAATGTATATCCCTAAATCTATAGACTCGCGACCATTACATTTTCTTTAACCGACTCAGTAGTGCTTTAGTCACCAAAGCTACAGGCCTTCAAACTATCAATGTGCTTTAGCCGGCTGAAGAAGGATGTATGTCACTATTACTATAGACTCTTGACCAGTAATTTTTCTTTAGCCGGCTCAATAGTGCTTTATGTCGCTTAGGCTATAGACCCGCGACCTTCTGCTTAGCAATGCAGGGGTAGGAAAGTGGAAGAGAGTCATTCGTGTCATTCATGCGCTCGCTCGGGGCGAGAATTTTTTTTAGCCGGCTTAATGGGGCGTTTTCGTCGCCGGTGGTACAAACACGCGATCACAAAATCACCTTTAGATGCCTATAAATTTTTAAAAGTTTTGCCGGCTGCTCTCTTTTCGCATTACCTTACCTCGGCGCTGACGTCAAATTATTCTTTCATGTTCTAGCTATAATTATCAATTTCTGTCTCTTCCTGTGCATTTTTATTGTTTGTAAGTATACGTATTTCGTAGAATTAAAATCTTCTAATCTGTCACAAATTCATTATTATTATAAAAACTTAAAAAAGCTACGGGGTGGTAAAAAAAAAAAAACTAATTAACAGCACAGAGGTGGAGGGTAGTTTTGAAGAGAAAATTCCTAATACATTTTCGTATAACCGAACCGAAAATGCCCCTTGGCCGGAGCGATCGAGGTGCGCCACCCTGTGACATGCTCTGTGGTACCTGTTGCAACAGCCGGCGCACAGCGTCTCCGTCTACTCGTCATAAAGGAAAAAACCGGAGCGACTTTCCAAACCTATCAGCCTACAAGCTTGGCGGTAACATGATATAGGAGGTAGGGCGCGGCAGGACCAGAACCTGCGCCGCCTGTGAGCGCCAATAGATCCGCCGCCGTGGAGGGCTGCACAACGCGTAGAAATTAAAGATACATAAAAAATAACTACGATTGAGTGCGATTGTAACTTAATTTATATGACAACGGTTTGGAGAAACGTGAACTCCAATTTGTGTAAGCTCATGTGACCTACGCCAGTGATTGTAAAGCAAGCCACTTTAAGAACAAGTACCAACTACACGAGCTGCAGAGTGTATTTTTCAGCGAAGTTTATTTTTTCCGCAACTGGGCATGGCAAGAATGCATGCGGTAGAATCGGGGGTCGTGTAAAGCACCAGGCAACGTTCTACAACCTCCGATGGCCCACGACGTTGGTGATCAAGTCGGCGTCAGAGATGATCGCCCACTGACCACGATACCGCCGAACGTGGAACTAATCCACCTCCCGAAAGCTAACGTCAAAGCATTCAGAGACATGAAAGCAAAGGAGTGGGTCTCTGTTTCTGTTGTGCGTGGAATTCAGTCCTTGTTCATATAGGCAACGTCCTATCTTTCTCTACTTTCCTTACGGCAATTCTGTATATTTAGTACTCTGTAAAATAAAAAAAAATAATATATATATATATATATTAAAGCATCTTTGAAGGGTCTGATAGAACAGATTATGAGCCTTGATCTGTGAAAATTAAAAAAAAATTATTAGGGCCTTCATTTTGAACTGGCCTTCTAATTACAGCAAAATTGGTAACCCCTCTACATTTCAGTTTTTGTTTTTTTAAAAAGGTTATCGTTTTTAATTTCAATCACAATGTAGGTGAATATAAAGCAAACGCGTCAAAATCATGTTATAAAATTTGAATTTCCAGTCTTTTAATATCCGGATCCACAAAGCTCTGAATTGCTTCGTGATCGAAAATGCATGTTTACTTCTTTTCATTTTATGTCCAGTCTCGGCACAAAATATATTAAACCTAAGACAACAAGAATTTTTCTCTTATAAATATCTAGAAGGGGACGGTTTGACGCAAGTCGTAAAAACTTGCACGTATACCGACAACGCGACTTTGTTATTTTTGTTCCTGAAGATAAATTTTATTTTCCGCAAAAAAAGTTTGATTGTGTTTTTGCTCTTGCTCAACAGGTGAAATATTTATTTCGATAAAAGTTTAAAAAAAATGTCGACCGCAAATGGTCGTTCGATCCTGTCTGAAAACGCCCCCCAATGCAGATAATCTCAGTAAATTGGACTTCCATTTTCTTTTAATTAAATATCTTTATTTTTTTCGCGTTGAGCGGCCCTCCACGGCGGTGGATCTATTGGCGCTCACAGGCGGCGCAGGTTCAGGTTCTGCCGCACCCTACCTCCTATATCATGTTGCCGCCGTGGGCATTTTGGGAATACAATTTGTTCCCACACCCTCCTAGCAAATAACGATTGCCTTAAAAATTACCTTGGTGCGCATTGCGGGCCCTAAGGCCTTACAAATTACCTTAAAACTTAGCATGACAGCGCCGTCTCAAATCGAAATGGAAAAGTGGAATGCGATTCTCACTAACGCGTCCCTTGTGTTGGTGATGTGGCGGCAGCGGCAGTGAACGGACACCGTCAAACCCAACCTTGTATTTTGCAACTTCGAAGACAGTATCGGGTCAACTTTTATTCAAGTTTTTTCATCGCACGTCAACCGGCTACGCCATTGCTACCATCAGTTCGAACTCTTTATAACATTCAACGTCTTATCTCTCGGTTCGAGTGGGTGGTGCCCAAGAACAGCCTGAGCTCATTTCGGACACTTTGGTGTTGGCAGCGGCAGCGAACGGACATCGAATTACCCAATACTGTCTTTTACAAACTGGTGCTACTTTTTTCAAATTACTTAAAGAACATAATTTTACACATTGCTGTAGCTAATGCTGTCGCGGGAGTTTTTTTGGTTTTGAACATTGCACTGTTCAGTACATTTTTAACGGTACTCTACTGTTCCAAATTTTCAAAATTTTGCAACCTTTAACGGTCAGATATCCTGGAGACCACAGTGACGTGTCAAAGCCCTTGGGTGAAATACAACCTAGTGGTATTAAGGAGGCGGTCGAAGTTCTAACTGACCTAATCAATAGGCTAAAGACAATTGAGACTAACATAAAAAAGACGTAGGGAGGGTGTGGAGTTCGAACGCAGAAATTCATGCTTAGCTTGTCGGATTTTGAGAATCCATCACCCTTTTTAATGCGGACGTCAGCTTCCAACGAGAAATAACCAAGGCAAAAACCAAAACTCTCGGTTGCTAACAAAAAAAAAAAAAAAACATATAATTGGAGAGCTTAGAGGAGCAAAAGAGGAAATGTCGGAACTTAAGCAGCACAGCGGGAACTTAACATCAAGTTAAAAGGCCTTGCAGTATTTGCAAAAGAAAACCTACCGAAGGTAGTGGGTCCAGCGGCTGAGTGGCTCGGCATTCAACTCTCCTTAAGTGACATTAACGTTGTGCATCGGGTGCCATCTAAGCATTAAGTGAAGCCCAACGTAGTGGTGAAATTCACAACCCGAACAGTGCGGGACAGGCTGCTTTTCGCGGCTATAGGAAGACAATATTAAATATTAGCCTCCTTGGGTTTCAAGCTAGTTAACCGCTGTTTGTGAATTAGCATCTGTGTCGAGGAACAAATTCTGCTGAACAAAGCTCGTCAAACGAGGAGAGAGAAAAACGTAAAACGGGAAATTTATCTCGTTATCGCAAGAAAAGCTTCTAATGCGCAAGATCAAAAATTCACCTGTCCTGTAAGTTCGCTGTGAAGGAGACTTGATGCAGGCGGTTTAGCTCCTTTAATGCCAGCGATAGGAGAGGTTTTGCAATTATGCATTTACTTTTCATGAAATTCGTCAATTATTAGTCC